CGGTGTGCGTTATGACGACATTCAACTGTCTCATATCCTACGTTCTTTTTTTCTTTGTTATTCTTAATAAAACTTTAGACGGTAAAAAAAAAAAAAATTCAACTGTCCCATATCCGTTCTTTTTGTGTCTTTCTTTGTCATTCTCAATAAAGCTTTAGACGGGTCAAAATGTTTTAAGTGCACATTTCACCTGATACAACAAGAACAAGCACAAGAACAAGAACAAAAACAAGAACAAGAACACGAACAAGAACAAGAACACGAACAAGAACAAGCACAAGCACAAGAACAAGAAAAAGAACAACCCCATTGTGCTCCCCAGGAAACGTTCAGTACGGATTGATCGGGCTTGTCACAGGTGGCTGTTCGTCAAAGCACCAGGTGAGATCCGAAGGGGAGAGTTTCGCAGCAAGACCGGGGTCAATGTCTTTCAGAAACTGGTGGAGCTTCGCATGATTGTCGAAATAGGCCGTTTTGTCTGCGCTGCGCTTGTCGAAAAACCGCTGCGCCAAATCGCGAGCTTCAGGTTGTGTCAGCTTGCTGTTGTAGAATTGGTTGGTAAGAGCAGGCACGTCCGACAAATTCGGGTTGTACGACGAGGTCGCTGCAACAGTTTGTTTCGTTGTTTTTGCAAAGTTCAGCCAGACTGAGAGCACATCCATGCGACAATAAGCTCAAAACAGAAATCTCTGCTGCATACCATCAAAAACAGGCTTAAGACCGCACAAGAAGTCGCCCAGTTCATTGCGCGAGACGAGCCAAGATCTGTCGTCGAGGTTGCCAGACGCGACCGGCTTGGACATTGTCTGTGTCGTGACAAGCCCAGCAATAAGCGTTGGCGTGCTGCGTTGATTGGAGATCAACTGATTGGCGTTTGCTTGCGACAAGGGCGCGACACCTGTTCGAAGTTTGACTTGACCCTTCACAGTCAACTGTTGTCATGCTTGTGAGTCGCAGCGCATACATGTAGTTTGGAGTCAACAAGACCGTTTCGACCTCTTACGTCCAAACCATTGACCGACACAAAGCTGGCATTCAAATCGCTGAACTCCTCGTTGACGCGGGTCAAGGAAAACCCATCTGGAATCGAATCGACCGCTCGCTCAAACTGTCGCAAAACGACCATGACTGACTGCAAGTCGTCGCTCAAGACGGCGCCTTCAAACAGTGTGGGAAGAGGTAGTGTCAGATCGGCAGCCTGTGGTGCGCCCTTGGTTTTGGCGCACGCATCGCACAGCTCCACAAGCAGGCGCAGGTTGAGCAAGCGCGGCACAATTTGCTCCCAGTTGTGCGAGGGAAGAGAGACCGCATTGTTGTTGACAGTCTCCGGCTGACTCATCTTCCCGATTGTTTGCAGTTCAGTGAGCAGTTTGCTGGCGATGTGGCCATACGCGCACTGTTCATCATCTGCAGACACCGGGGCGGGCAAACACGAAAGTGCAGTAAGTAGCCGATGCAAGGACAAAATGCAACGTCAGCAAGCGACTCACCGAGTTTGACAAGGTCGAGAAAGTGCAGGTTTAGCATCAGTTGCTGAGAGAAGGAGTACTGAGAGAGTGAGGTCCAAAAGCAGAGTCCAAGATCCACCAACCTGTCAATCCGAGCATCTGCCCAATCGTCGAGAGTCGACTTGAAAGCAATGGCTCGAACAAAAGCAATCAAAGACTTGGGATCAATCGTGATCGGCATGGAACGGTTGTCGGTCGTGAAAATGTTGTTAATTTGGCGAGGAATGCCCAGTGCTCGCTGGAGCAACAGCGTCTTCCAAACATCTCGATGCCAAACTGCGTTGTTGTTACGGCGGGTCGCCAGCTGAGCCGAGGCAGCGCCGGAGAGACGTGGCATCTCGATCAAGCTAGCGAAAAACCTGCTCCCGGTGACCTTGTCGAACATGTCCACCTGGACAGCGTCGCTCAGCGCAAAAGGACGCGTCCCACTCATAAATAAAGTAACCTTCCCGCCTGAATTCGACAATTCTCGCAGTGGCGCGATAGCCCATTTGATGAACCGACGTTCTTGGCGCCATTGCGGCAACGTGCTAAACTCGCGGTCGAATTTCTCGTCGACTGTTTGTCCAAGCAGCATGCTCACTTCATCAAGGGTGACGACGACCGGTACGACCGTGTTCGAAGGCAGGTTTTTGAGCCGGATAAAGTCTTGGCGGATGTAGTGAATGGTGGTTGCTACGGCGAATGAGCCAGAGAGGGTCAGACGGAACCTGTTCATTAGATCACCCGGAAGCCGCATATAATCGGCGAGCATACGCCAGGCCACGGCGTGTTCAGGATGCAGCGAGCATTCCGTCGACTGGAATGCCATTCGACTGTTGAATGTGACGTTCAAACTGATGAAATTTTCGTCATTGTACACCTGCTTTGCGAGTTTCGAATGAATGATCTCGCAGAAAGCCGTCTTGCCGGCACCAGGCAGTGTAGCAATCACACCGATAGGGTGCCGGTCGCTGGCATTCGCAGAGGTGGTTTTGTTCTGCGTGAGCAGTCTCGAAGCAGCCTGTATGGCCTTGTCGCGCTCTAAAAGCAGGTCCTCCGACGAAGGCCTCTGGCACGGGAAGCGGATCACAATAGGGTGGCAAGGGAAATCAAGTGAGCATCCGCCATCAGCAGATCATAAATGAAAGCAGTAGGATTTACCTCCGCTTCAACGTAGTTGTTCGAGTGTTTGAAAGCGTCAATCTGCATCTTGACTGACTCCGCATCAGTGACAAAGTCTACAAGTATTTCAAAGAAATCAGCACACACACACACACACACACACACACACACACACACACACACACACACACACACACACACACACACACACACACACACACATACCGTTGAGGCTCCTTCCAGCGACTTGCTGCCGCAATTGTACGAGTTGCAGCTGCAGTTGTTCGATTTGCTGCTGCCGTTGTTCGATTTGCTGGTCAATAACTAGCTTGCGGTCAAGCTCGCCATTCAGCTCCTCAAGCAAGTCAGCTCCGAACCAATTGCGGCCCACCAGCTTGGCACAGACAGTTAATTCCAACTGCCGGAGTGCAGCTGCGGCATTGGGTTTCTGCTCGTCAGTTGGAGAGGCAGCGCCCGCTTGTTGACCATCCAAAAGCTGCTTGAGCCTGGCGCGTTGGGCAGGCTGGGTGGTAAGTTCTGAAATTGGCGCCAAATCGACTGAGACGCCAAGACATGCGGCCAATGCGCGCAGCTGTTCACTGTCCAAATGCAATAAAAAGCAAAGTCAGTCAAACCAAGACAACGACAACTCCAGTGTGATGAGTAGGGCAATCAAATTCATTACCTGAACGTTGCTGGATTCGCTGCCGATCAAAAAAAAAAAGAAAAAAAAGCAAAAGTGAAACAACTGGTCAGTGCCTCCCGTCCTCGCCACCATCAAAGTCAAAGTCGATGCTTTAGTCTTTGTTCACTGAATTACACCAAGGGCGTTTCACGAGGAACTGAGGGACAGCAGGGGGGCAGTGGGAAAAGCAGAAAGAAAGGAAAAAACAAAAAGCAACCAAAACAAAACAAAAAAAGGCGCCAAGAATTGCCAAGAATTGCCAAGAATCGCCAAGAACTGATCGATGCATGTCATTCAACCCCAGTTTCGATGGAAAGAGTCGGTGAAAGTATCAACAATGAATTGCGGCACTGTGTTTTGCGGGTGGCAAAGTGCACGATAGAGTGGAGCGGGGAGAGACCCATGAATAGCCTTTCACCGCACTTACAGCCATGAGAAAGCAATGAAATAGACTGACTTAAAACTTTTGAAAAGTGATTTTCCTCTAGCTTGATTGTGTGCTCTACAGGTATCTATTTGAATGATGAGCCTGATTGTATTCATTGTTGCGTTTGAAAGACCATCATCAGAACAGAATCACCGCAGGTTGCCAACACTGCACGCGCGAAATCCCAGTATGGCAAACAAAACAATCGAGACCAAAACCATTCATCTCAAAGTGCGCCGTCAAACGGCAGAATCAGAACAAACACAAAAACGTTTTAGGCAAACACCTTCTTGGAAGCGGCCTCGAGACGGTCAAGGAAGAGCGCGGCGTGCTTGGGACGGAAGATGAGGGAAGGACGCAGACGAATGGAACGGGTACCACAGCCGCCCATGTTCAGACCCTCCATGCGGCCGGCAAGAATGAGCTTGTCGCGCAGCGCAGGAGTCTTCACGTCAAAGGCAATGAACGTACCGAGACCACGCACGTTTTCGAGGTTGCCCTGCGATTGATCGGCGAGCGTCTGCAAACCTTGCTGGAGGTAAGCACCCGTCACGCGCGTGTTCTCAATCAGATTGTCCTGCTCGATGATCTCGGTGATGAACTTGGCTTGGAGCAGACGCACGGGATCGCCCATCCACGTGTTGTAGATGCGGTACGGCACATCCACGCGATACTGGTCGGCGTAGAAAAAGCCCGACGCTTGCATCTTTTTGGCGAAGGTGACGATATCCGGGGGCGAGCTCAGGCCCCACTGTTCGTGCGCCCAAAATGAGCCCGTGGCACCTATCCCCGAGGAGGACACACACACACACGCACACACACACGCACGCACAAACAAACAAACAGTCCGGTTCCATTTGAGCAACGCAAAAAACCAACCAAAACAAACTGTAAATTGCGACGCAATCCTCACCAACACCGGTTTGGACTTCATCAACAATGAAGGCCACTTTGTGCTTCTTGCAAAGAGCTTGAAGGCCGCGGAAGAAGCTCGGAGAGGCGTGGTTGTCGCCGCCCTCAGCCTGGATGGGCTCCACCACGACGCCAGCCACTGGAATGGGGTTGGACGTCAGGATCTTGTCGACCTGAAATTCCAAAGGGCAAAGGTCATCAAGTGAGTCGATGGAACGGTGGAAGCAAAACAAAGACGATCAACGCGTCCACCGCATCACGGCCAACGCGCAACAACGAGAACAGAAAATGAAAACCTCTCTCAACAGCATGCAAAGCTCTCACTACTGCATCACGTTCAACGCGCAACATTGAACAAAACTCCAACAACACAAACAAAACCCCTCCCAAACCTATCAAAGCCACCACAACTGTACCTCTTTCAGAGAGTCCTGCTCGGACTTCTCGTTCTCGGCGGCGTGCTTGTCCAGAGGGTACTTGAGCTTGGGGAAGGGTGCCTTGGGCCAGGGAAGGGCGGGAATGTCGAGCTTGTGGATGGCTTTGGCGCGAGTGGTCGAGAGGCAGCCAAAGGTGCGGCCGTGGAAGGCGCCGTCGAACGAGAGGATGGAGAGGTTGGGAGAGCCGGGCTCGCAATTGTTCATGACCGAGGTGAGCTCTTGCTCGTTAAAGCCGCGATCACCACGCTTGCGTGCTTGGTAGTGCATGAATGCCATCTTGTAGGCGTTTTCGTTGGCCGAGGAGCCGCAGCCGCAGGTCAGCTGGACTTGCTTCAAGCCGGTGGGCGCCTGCTTGATCATCGTGTCGTGCAGCTGAACGGGGAAGTCGGTTGGCGGCATGGATCCCAGCGCAGCGCGTTGCGCAAGATGCTGGAAGAGCAGCTGGCTCTCGGTGAGCTTGGTCTTGTAGTCTGGGTGGTTGTAGCCGAGCGGCAGCGACGCAATGTGGCAGTAGACGTCGAGGAGCGCGTTGCCGTCCGCATCGACGACATAGTTGCCAGACGACTTTTCAAAGTCGACAAAGAAGCTCACGGACTGGGCGTCGACCATTGTGGCGAGCTCTTTGGTGAGGGCAATGCTCTTGGATCCGGGGATGGCGGTGGTCTTGACGCGCGGCTTGGCTGGCTCTCCGCGGATGGCGGGCGCCGGGGTCTTCGGCAGCGTGCCCCACTTGGGAGTGGAAGCGGAGGCAGCACCGGCAGCGGCGGCGGTGGCAAGCGTCGAGAAGGACGACAAGCGGGCAGCAGCAGTGGTGGCGTTGAGCGCGGGAAGAGCTGAGACAAGACGGGTTGCGAGCATCATCAATCAAGCAGAAGAGATAGAGATAGGAGGACTGCGCAGACAAGTGCGTCGAGTGCGTTTTGTGAATGTGGCAAGCGATGTGTGGATGCGGATGAGTGTGTGAGTGTTGTTTGTTGATCGCAGAGCGGCAAGCAGAGGAATTTGACAATAAACGCGATTTAAGATGGGGTGATTCAACGTCCAGTTGGGACTGCGGGAGAAAACCGCTTCGATTCGATTGGGATGCGCATTGCGATGGCACGCGCACACACCACACACACAGTAGAGAGCATGCGTGCATGTGCATACCCACAGCTTGGAACGCGAGCCAAGTATCGCACGGGGCAAGCAGCCGAGAGCCGCGCCAAGTGACCAGCGTCGCAAATGCAGTCCATTCGCCAACGACAATGCCAGTGTGTTCAATACAGACCTTGTTGAAGAATACATGCACTCCTTGAACTTGCACACATTGATGGGGAAACAATAATCATCACCAAGCTGCCAGTCTGAGAAGCACAGGCCAGTCCGCTTTTTGATTTTTTTTCCTTAAACAAAAAAAATCACCACTGAGAAGCACAAATGTCCCACCAGGCCGCCCTCGCTCGCGACGCCAAGCGCGAGGCCGCATTGCCGGCGCTGCTCGCTGCTCAACCCAAGTGCCCGCACCGCAAGACCAAGATTGTCGCCACGCTGGGACCTGCCTCGCAAGACCTCATCAAAGAGCTCGTTCTTGCTGGTAAAAGCGAAACGCTTCATCATTCCATCACCATCACAGTGGCGGTGTCGGTGTCGGCGTTCCACTCTCTGCTGCTGCCGCTACTGCTAATCCACACAACCTATTGCAACGCAAACACGTGACAGCCAGCGAACGCAGCACTGCGACAGTCGTGCGCCAGAACACAAAACCAACCAACAAAAAGTGCGAGTTGAGCGAAATCTGCAAGTCCGACGCTCGCTCACTCAGTCACGCTCACTCAGTCACTCTCACTCAGTAACGCACACTCAACCTTCCTCAATGGGGAGACAGCCACGACGC